CGGGAACAAATTCGTTCAGTATTGGCACTCGAACAGCATTCTGAAATGAAATAAGTTCGAAATTCAGGGTACCACTGTAGTCGAAAACCTTTTTCTGAAGGTGATGGCATCAATAGTACAGAATCTAATGGAAAACTTACGGAATTATGCAGGTGCAAAGTTAGTGGTCTCAGCGATATACACGTACATGTATGTGCATCGGCGATTTTGCCTGCTTTGAGCCCTAATTTCGGCGAATTCTATTGTTCCAGTTGACCAAACTCGTAGCTATTTTGCTAGAACTCCATTTGTTCTATTGATCGAATACAAGAAACTGCCCATTTACCTATTTCAACTACGTACTTGATAAAGTGGTCAGAATTTGGGAATTTGGCCAATTTCACACAAATTTCAAAAGATGCCAATTTCAAAATAGGGTCCAGAATAAACAATGCAGACATTCTTGGCACTAAAATAACATTTTCTCTGTTCATTAATCATGTCTTCAGGCCCCCTCTTATATTACTCTTGCTTTCTATTTTGAATTTTTATTCACACAAAAATAGAAGATTTACTTTTATGCAAACTACTGCATTATTGTAATACGTAATTGTATAATGTCAACCCATTCATGACTGCATATTAGACTGGCCAGTTGGACACGCGTTGGACGGTGATGTCATTTGTTTACTCTTGAACATCGGCAAAAATTGAACATTTCCGCTACTTTGAGCTCAATTTCAAGGTATTTTTCATCTTGAAACCAATCAAAATCATCTTTGTTTCTGTAATATATCTTCCATTCTATCAAATGAGACCAAGAAAATGAGAATACAACCATAAATACCATACAAAAATACACCTCAATGTCAGCGCTTTAAACCAAAAAGACGGTTGGGATTTTTTTTCTCTTATGCACTGCGTGCTGCAGGATTTTTTTCTATGCTACCCACACTGACCATGCAGACCCATTCTCTCACCAGTAGGTCTACCAGCTTTCTCCCACTAGATATGAAGCCGCTAGAATTTTGGCACAATACGGCACCAGCACTGGCTTGTAAGCCATACGACACTGACAGTGAAAGGGTTAATGACAGTAGTACCATCCTAGGGAGTTTATAAATGTACTAGCTATTCCAAAGGCAGCAGATGAATGGGTTACACTTATAAACAAGTCATAATATTAAAAAAAGAGTGTGAAGGGAAATTGCAACATAGAGTGAGCCCTCTGATATGCGGGTTACAGTCCTTAACCCTTTGAGGGTCGACAGGCCCTCTCCGAAACTCGTTCTCAGGGTCGGCCAAATTTAAAAAAAAAAAAAATTATTTTCTCTTATGAAAAGATAGAGAATCTTTTCCCGATCATAACGACACCAAAAGTTTGAAATTTGATAGAAAACTTACGGAATTATGCTCTCGCAAAGTTAGCGGTCTCGGCGATGTTTACGGATCGGCGATTTTGCCCACATTGAGCCCCATTTTCGGCCAATTTCGCTGTACTAGTCGACAAAAAACATGAATATTTCGCTAGAACTCCATTTTTTCTATCGAATGGGTGCAAGAAACCACCCATTTATAAATTCAACTATCCAGTACAGTGGTCAGAATTTAGCAATTTTGCCAATTTCACACAAATTTCAAAAGATGCCAATTTCGGAATAGGGTCCAGAATAAACAAGAAAGACATTCCTGGCACTAAAATGACATTTCCTCTAGTCATTAGTCACGTCTCAAGGCCCCTCTTATATTCTTTTGCTTTCCACTTTGAATTTTTATTCTCACAAAAAATATAAGATTTACTGTTATGCAGACTACTGCATTAGTGTAAAAAATGGTATAAATATTATTGGTGCACTTGTGAAAGAATATTAGACTCACCAGTTGACGTGTATTGCACGCTTGGCACGATTTGTTTACTTTTGAAGTTTGGTAAAAATCGAACATTTCTGCTACTTTGAGCTCAATTTCAAGGCACCTTTCATTGTAAAACCAGTCAAAATCATCTCAATTTCAGTAATATGTCTTCCATTCTATAAAATGAGACCAAGAAAACTAGAATACAACAATAAATACTATACGAAAATACACTGCAAAGTCGCTGATTTATTAAAAAAAAATGGAAAAAGTTTTTTTTTTCTCATTATGCACCGTGTGCTGCAGGATTTTTTTTAGACTGTGCACACTGACCACATAGACCCATTCTTTCATATGAAGGCCTACCAGCTTTCTCCCACTAGATTTGAGGTCGCTAGAATTTATGAGTACTAGTACGTCAAAAACCCCTACGCGTAAGACGTACTAGTACGACGAAAACCCTCAAAGGGTTAAAATCAGTTGGTAATGTAAATTAGTATCGTGAAAAGGAGGATGTGGGCGAAAATATTATTGTTTAAGACACCCAAATTTTCCAAAGTACTTTTTTTCTCTTCTAGTAATTAAAAATTACTGCCTTACCTTACATTCTAATAGTTCTTTCTTATTGTCATGGAAGTGTGTGGACAAAATTGATGTGAGGTTACTGAGCTGAGGTGGGTTGCATGGGCACTTCCATCACACAAGCAATGCTGCAAAGCTTTTCTGACACTTCCACTTTCTTCATTACTGTCTAAGATTAACACTTATTTTTCTTGGCACCTCCGGTGGCACTAGTATTCTTGGGTTCCATGGTTAATATTCAGAGTGAAGTTAGGGTAATAAAAATACAGTGGACCCCCGGTTAACGATATTTTTTCATTCCATAAGTATGTTCAGGTGCCAGTACTGACCGAATTTATTCCCATAAGGAATATTGTGAAGTAGATTAGTCCATTTCAGACCCCCAAACATACAAGTACAAACGCACTTACATAAATACACTTACATAATTGGTCGCATTCGGAGGTAATCGTTATGCGGGGGTCCACTGTATCTAGAATAGTTTGATAAATAGTGCATGAAGTAATCAGTGCTCCCTGAAAGTAGCTGTAACAGGTGGCATAAGTGCAGTGGTTGAGGCGAGGATTCATCTCCATAAGCACTAGCCACCCTTAGGCCCAACTGCCCAACTAGACACGGTTATGGTGCATAACTTGATGCTTAGAAAACTTGCCTCTCAAGGGAGGATCCTTGATGCTGGTTTTGTGAAAGAGGGCTCCTTGTTGCTGGTTTTATGAAGGAAGGTTCCTGGATAGTGGTTTCGTGGAGGGAGGCTCCTTGATGCTGGTTTCGTGATGTAAAGAATTGGGCTCATCCTCTTCTTTCTTGGGATGAACCTGAGTGTCTCTCATTACCTAGGTGCTGTATGACCCCTATGGGTTTAGCACTTTCCCCTAAATATAATAGTAATACAGTAATATGAAAACTTGCAGTGGGTAGTACTAAAATTTCACATGTTAGCTGATATAGGTTGTGTGGCACATACACAGATTTTAATGTGCTGCCAAAATTTTTGGTGTGCTCTTTGAATCATATTGCAACAAAACTGTACTATGTAGAGTTGCATTTTAAGAGAGCTTATTGTACTGTATTTCATTATTTTGTTAGTCTTAAATTTCAGCATGTCAGGATCGATTTAATTTCAAATTGTGCTCTATGGTCAAACTTTTTTTTTTTTGTATTTAAGAAAGCTTATTGTAAGATATAATGTGGTGGTATTTTTGCAAGTATATATTTGAGAAGACTTCATTAAGGAACATGTCTAAAGTTATGACAGTTTTACAAAGTTGACTGATTTTGCTGATAAATTAGTGCTATTGGATAATGTGAATATAAAAAAAAATATTTTGATCAAAACTTTTTATTTTTTTTATCAAGAAAATACGTATCAGGATTTTTAAGGCCCTGCAGAATATTTAGAGAAAGAGAGAGAGAAAAAAAAATGGAGTTGTACAACCCAGTCCTCAATACATATTATATTAAAGCAATTCATCACTTTGATAATAGTTCAGTATCTGATTATTCTTGCTCCCCACAATTTATTAAGGTATCTGTTTTTTTGTACTGTATTGTAAATTGTTTTATATGTATCCAGAAATAATTGATAAATAAAAATTTCTAAACATTGTTACTTTCTTTTTAAATAATCTTTTCAAAAATTTAAAAAAATGAGAAGGTATTATGTATTTTTATCCAATATTGTGACAACTGGTTAACTTGAAGAAATCTTTGGTGCCGCCACTGTTACTAGCATAGGGCTATGCTGGGTACAGCTCAGTGGATGAGCTTACACAGTGTTACAGAATGTTGATAGTACAGCATGTGAAAAGTACAAAAATGATGCTTGATCACCTTGCTTGAACATCTCAACAGTTTATAAGGATTACAAAGTTAAATTATGAAGAGATTTTAATGACATTGCAAGGGAGGTTCCTTCCTCCAAGGAATTGGATGCATCCTTTCCTTCCTTGGATCATACCCAGTTGCCTCTTTCCCCAGGTGTTGTTTGATCCTCAGCTTCAGTGCTTCTTCTCTATGTATAATACTGTAATAATAATACAGTGGTACCCCGAGTTTCGTACATAATTCGTTCCAGAAGGCTGTTCAAGTACCGTTACCGAATGAATTTGTTCCCATAAGGAATTATGTAAATTAGATTTGTCCGTTTCAGACCCCCAAAAATACACTTACAAAAGCACTTACATAATTATTCGAGTTGGGAGCTGTACGAAACTCTGGGTATCACTGTATCTATAATGTTAAAATAGAGTAAGTTTTTATGCAAAATAATGCTCAGATCTGAACAAATGGGTGGGGAGTTTTTAGTTCAGTCAGGAAATGCAATCTATGCACACAACTTGTACAGTCAAAGAATTTACAGTTTGTCTACTGGTAACTGAAAAAACTCAGGGTTCGTCCACATTTAGTGGTAATTTTTAATGACTAGACAAGTGTTTGGCAAATACAATTAAATTTTTTTTTAACAGTTTGTCTTCCTAACAAATACCTTAGCAGGTTCAGTAAAGTTGCATTTAAAATTTCAGCAATATTTTTATTATTATTAATTCCAAGAACTATTACTAATTCAAAAATTTCCTTTTTTTCAGCACTTGTATATACAAAGTGTACATAAATTAGCTTCTTAAGATGAGCTCCGGGGGCAGAGGCAGCCGGGGCAACAAAGGTCCGCGGGCGGGCGGCGGTGACCGCAACAACACCGCCACACAACAGGTGCAGCAACAGCAGCCTGTACAGCAACAGAAGATGGACAGCCAAGCTACAGACAAAGACAAAGGTGGGGAGGCAGTGCCGCACAAGATAGCGCCCACAGCTGAACAACTCCGCATTGCCCAGATGATTGACTACACACGAACCGAACCAGAGAAGCTGCTTCAAGAAAAGATTAATCAGGTTAGATTAACTCATCTTAACTCTTTCATTGTCTAGACCCCAAAATTAACATGTATTGCTCCCAGTGCCCACTTTTAAATAAAATTCTTCTCAAATGGTAGAGAATCTTTCGCTGAAGGTAATGTCACCAAAAGTACAAGATTTGATAGAAAACTTGCAGAATTACGCAGGTGCAAAGTTAGTGGTCTCAGCACAATTTATGCATTGATTGCTTCACCAGCTTTGAGTCCTATTTCAAGTCAATTACATTATTCCATTCTTCACTATTTTGCTAGTACAGTGGACCCCCGCATAACGATTACCTCCGAATGTGACCAATTATGTAAGTGTATTTATGTAAGTGCGTTTGTATGTGTATGTTTGGGGGTCTGAAATGGACTAATCTACTTCACAATATTCCTTATGGGAACAAATTCGGTCAGTACTGGCACCTGAACATACTTCTGGAGTGAAAAAAATATCGTTAACCGGGGGTCCACTGTATATACCTTCTATTCTATCGATTGAGCACAAGAAGCCACCCATTCAACTATTTCAACTACCCTATAAAGTGCACAGGAATTGGTAATTTGGCAAATTTTATAAAATTTAAAAACGCCAATTACAAATAGTCCAAAATAAACAATGTAGACATTTCTGGTACCAAAACATTTCTTCTGTTCATTATGTCCCTAGGCCTCTCCAATATTACACCTGCTTTTCATTTTGAATTCCCAGTCACACAAAAATAGAAGATTTTTCTGTGTTTCCTGTATAATAAAATATTACTAGGAATTATCTTTTTGGTTTACAGCATCTCAATAATTGAATCAGATCTATTAAAAGCCCATAAAAAAGACCAGGGGAGGGTGTACTGGGGGCCCCTCACCTGTCCTCAGGAAAATTGGCAAAAATCAAATTTTCTACATGGCAAAGTATATGCAGAAAAAGTGATACCAGAAGATTGTTATAATCTTGTAGTAATAAATAGGTAATTGCAAAATACATAAACATGTAATTACTCATCACATCATCCAAGGTTTACAAGGTTTGCAGGCATATAACTGGCAAAAGGACACAATTACAGATCTTTCTTCTTCTTTCAACAAGCTGGCCATATCCCACTGAGGCAGGATGGCCCAAAAAGAAAAAGAAAAGTTTATCTTTTTAACTTTAGTAATGTATACAGGAGAAAGGGTTACTAGTCCCTTGCTCCCGGTACTTTAGTTGCCTCTTACGACACGCATGGCTTACGGAGGAAGAATTCTGTTCCACTTCTCCATGGAAAACAATTTACAGTTTTTTTTTTTTTTTTTCTTCAACAAGTCGGTCGTCTCCCACCGAGGCAGGGTGACCCAAAAAAGAAAGAAAATCCCCAAAAAGAAAATACTTTCATCATCATTCAACACTTTCACCACACTCACACATTATCACTGCTTTTGCAGAGGTGCTCAGAATACAACAGTTTAGAAGCATATACATATAAAGATACACAACATATCCCTCCAAACTGCCAATATCCCAAACCCCTCCTTTAAAGTGTAGGCATTGTACTTCCCATTTCCAGGACTCAAGTCCGACTATATGAAAATAACCAGTTTCCCTGAATCCCTTCACTAAATATTACCCTGCTCACACTCCAACAGATCGTCAGGTCCCAAGTATCATTCGTCTCCATTCACTCCTATCTAACACGCTCATGCACGCTTGCTGGAAGTCCAAGCCCCTCGCCCACAAAACCTCCTTTACCCCCTCTTTCCAACCCTTTCGAGGACGACCCCTACCCCTCTTTCCTTCCCCTATAGATTTATATGCTTTCCATGTCATTCTACTTTGATCCATTCTCTCTAAATGACCAAACCACCTCAACAACCCCTCTTCTGCCCTCTGACTAATGCTTTTATTAACTCCACACCTTCTCCTAATTTCCACACTCCGAATTTTCTGCATAATATTTACACCACCACATTGCCCTTAGACAGGACATCTCCACTGCCTCCAACCGTCTCCTCGCTGCTGCATTTACCACCCAAGCTTCACATCCATATAAGAGTGTTGGTACTTCTATACTTTCATACATTCCCTTCTTTGCCTCCATAGATAACGTTTTTTGACTCCACATATACCTCAATGCACCACTCGCCTTTTTTCCCTCATCAATTCTATGATTAACCTCATCCTTCATAAATCCATCCGCCGACACGTCAACTCCCGAGTATCTGAAAACATTCACTTCTTCCATACTCCTCCTCCCCAATTTGATATCCAGTTTATCTTAATCTAAATCATTTGATACCCTCATCACCTTACTCTTTTCTATGTTCACTTTCAAATTTCTACCTTTACACACGCTCCCAAACTCGTCCACTAAACTTTGCAGTTTTTCTTTAGAATCTCCCATAAGCACAGTATCATCAGTAAAAAGCAACTGTGTCAATTCCCATTTTGTATTTGATTCCCCATAATTTAATCCCACCCTTCTCCCGAACACCCTAGCATTTACTTTTACAACCCCATCTAT